CATTGTACTGAGTCTCCTGACGTGACCAATAAGTCTTTTGATGTCAGGTGGAAAGTTATAAAGGAATTTGCTGAATACTTTAAACCTTCGTTGTTCATTTTCAAAGAAAGAATTTAGAATATCGAGAAATAGTCAGAACGGGTGTGGCCTGATCAAAAAGTATCGGAATTGTTGCTATGGCAACGGATCTAAAGTATGCAGAGAGAAACCACTTGGCACAGATTGGCATGCGCACTAAGTTATAATCTTCTCGCTCACTTCCGTTGTTTATAGCATTGCTTGGAAAGAAAGTGCGTGGAGTGTGGTCGTCTCGCCACACTGCAGGGGTTCAATCAGCAGCAGTTTTTGACTAAGCATAGCATTCCCCAGGTTCAACAGCAACCATATTCCCCAGATATCGCTCCTTGCGACTTTTCCTCTTCAAAAATCAAATCCCGCACGATTTCAAGACGTCGAGGAAACCCAAAAGAATGCGACAAAGCAGATGCTCGTTATCCCCGAAAAGGGAGTTCTATGAATGCTTCTCTCAATGGAAAAGATGCTGGATAAAGTGTGTAGCTTCAGAAGGGGGGAATACTTCGAAGGAGATTAAATGCCGAACTGAGATAATTGAGACATCTGGATGAGATATGGCACATGAAACTAGAACAATCTACCCCAGTAGACGAAATAAATGATTCAGTTCGAAATTCCAATCACCTGAAGAAGGCCGGAGCGTACAAACGTCGTGAATATGGCAATAAAGATGAGGACAACAGTCCAAACAATGTAAATAATATAAATAATTACAATACTTCAAATCAAAAATATAGACAGATACCGTATTGATATGTGTTGTTTTTTTTTTTATATCACCAGCCCCGATACTTTTTGATCAGACCTCGTATATGGTTTCAGTTGTTAATAGCCCAATGATTGAATTTATGACCCTGAAATAGAATTTCAGCATCATGTCACAATAATGACCTTACAATGCAACAGCTTTTCCTGCGCTTAAATTGAATAAATATTGATAATAGATTGCTTTCTTTTGAGGTAAAGTGTTTTCACGATATATAACCGTTATTTTCGATTGGAAAAAATCAGACGAAATTAGAAGCTGTGAAGTTGTGTTATAAGACTGCTTATTGCAAGTTTTACCATATTACTACAGTATAAGAATTATTTTACCATATTACTACAGTATAACAATTATTTTACCATATTACTACAGTATAACAATTATTTTAATGCGTTAAAAAGAAAAAGAAATGGAATGCCGTACCTGAACAACAAGCGTATTATAAAATGTGTGAACATTCAAGGCCTTTTTTCTTTATTCGTCTATAAAGTTGAAAAGAGGTATTAACATTTCAAGCTCTCTTCAGATAAGTGTTGATAGTGTTGCAACTAATATTTGACTTAACCAGGAGGCAAATCAGGCCAAAAACGGAGTATTGCTGCCGTATTTGGGCTGGATCTGCCTAATCCTCATTTTCCAGTCTCGGCTGTTTTCAAAAGGGTTTGCGCGGCTTTTTAAACGATTAATTTCCACCCTACATCCTCTTTCCCCACGGACGCAATGTCGCAAAGCGCTTTCTACTCTAACGCTATTTCCTTGGCAAACGTTATGATGACCTACATTCTCTAGTTCCACCAATTAACATTTTACCGCTAAGACTCGTCATACCATCCTTATTGTATTCGTATTCCATTTGTGAGGAGGAAGTTCAATTGGGACAACTTATTTCCAAGAGCTGCTGTATTATGGAAGAGACTCACAAGAGAATGCTTCCCCGAACATTACAATTTTAACTTCTTCAAGTCTAGGCTCGATATCTATCTCTGTCCAGCATATATTCATAATCGACAATTCTTACCTCCATAAAACAACCCCGTTCAGTAACCTTTGATTGATATTTGGGTCTTGTATTGGTTGTCCATTAGCATGAAAAGAAAATCCGAAAGCAGATATACATTTTTTTTTTTTTACAGTGAGGTTCACCCTGTACAAAGCCCGGAGACCACTCAAGTTAGAGGGTCACAGAGTAAGAGGCACAGTTTATGCGGATAGGCGAGGAAGATAACGGTTAATGCTAGATTTGAACAGGTTAAGGTTACTCATTTTCATTGCCATAATCACGTTTCGGCCGTTGTACGCTCCGGCCTTCTTCAGGTGATTGGAATTTCGAACCGAACCCTTTATTTTCTCCATCGGGGCAGATTGTTCTAGTTCCACGTGCCATGCCTCGTCCGCATGTCTCAGTTATTTCCCTCTAATTCAACTCTTCAATTTTTGGTTCACCACTGCTGTGGCCTGGTATTGAACTCACAAATGTTTGGGCCTAGTCTACTGGATCGAACCAACGTCTTTATCCACTGAGTCATGTATTCGAAATTGCAATCACCTAAAGAAGGCAATCAAGATGAGGACAACAGTCCGAATAATATAAATAATACAAATAATCATAATACCTCATTTCAGAGATATAGATAGACAGGTTAAGATCGTAGTGATAGGGGGAAGGAATAGGGGGAGGGGGAATGAGAGTAGTTTTCTACAATGTGAGTGGCATGTTGTAATTGTGAAGGTTAGAACTGGCGGAATTAAAGAATACGGTTTGTCCGAGAGCTTGTCATGAAAGTAGCGCTAGAATAGTCAGAGGCTCGCTACACCCCGTCTGTGAGAAAGAGGCTGCAATATGGAAAATAATTTGTTACCCACAAGGACGCTTACTTTTCTGAGTATAATTCATAAGGAAAGATAGATATATTTTTTTACGAAAAACTTCGTTTTCCATGCAAATTATATCTCTGGGTAAGGTTGTCAAATGACTCAACCGAAACAGTATCAACAACCCACACAAAGTGTAGTTATTTTTAGAAGAAAAAAACATGGAGATTTTAATATGAATCCGATCAATCTATGCGATATTTTCAATGCAGTATTTTAGATATGACAAAGATATTATGATTCAGAAAATTATTACGATCAATGACTATAGCAGTGGAATAGAATTTTAGCATCTTGTCACAAAAATGAGCTAATAGTTCAACAGCATTTTGTGCGCTTAGATTTAAAAAAATATTGATAATAGATTGATTTCTTTTTATGTATGTTTCCACAATTAGTAATTATTTTTTTTTCTTTTGGAATGAAGGATTACTGTTAATTTGTTGACCACAATCAGACGAAATTAGAAGCTGTGGGGTTGTGTTATAGAACTGCTTATTGCAAGTTTTATTTCTCACTCTGATTCAATGCTATATTTATCATAAAAATTTCGTAAATACCTCTGAGAAATGATGTTTAATGAAGTCCAGTATAGCTAGAACAATCATTTGCCCGCCTAACAAATGTTGTCATATAATATATATTCATTTAGTATTTCTTTTCGGAGGTGAGAAATTGCCAATGTACTTTTTATTATTTCTAACTTTTGTTCTCATCTTGGTGGATAGAGACGTTATTATAGACACAGCGTTTCGGTCAAGTACCCACTGGTCATCATCAGGTCGCCATTGTTTGGCTGCATTTGTTAATAAACACTGCATTTTTCACTGAAAAATATTCACATGGATATTAATATACTGCTTTCAAACTATGAGATAATTTGTAATTACCAGATAACTCGCGGTTGGCAGTTTTGATTATGACGCCGACTACGAGTTATCTCGTATCGTCTACGAGTTATCTCCTGCCGTATACGAGTTATCTCCTCCTGACTACGAATTATCTCATGTCGACTACGAGTTATCTCATGTCGAGTACGAGTTATCTCGTGTCGACAACCAGTTATCTCGTAGCAACCATGAGTTATTTTCTCCCGACTACGAGTTATCTCGTGTCGACTACGAGTTATCTCGTGTCAACTACGAGTTATCTCGTGTCGACTACGAGTAATCTGGTATCGACTAAGAGTTATCTCCTGCCGACTACGAATTATCTCATGTCGACTACGAGTTATCTCGTGCTTGTCCTTTTCTGATATATTTTCATCTGCCGGCGTCAACAACGAATTTATTCAGTTTATTCGCAATGATGATTTTCGTGTGAAAACAATGTTAAGACTTCACTTGAAGCTATAAATCAACTTCTTTTTTTTTATTGCCTAAGTTGAATATTATAAAGTTAGCCTTTGAACACAGATTTCGTAATTGACCTCTAGCATATGAATTAAGCTGGCTTTGTTGGCGTTTACTTTGGAAAAAATATTCCCACAATAAAGACACCAAAATCGCTTACAGTAACTAGTTTTTATTCCTTTTGGGGGAGTGGTTTGTTGTTTTATTTTTTACAGCTTATCAACATTTTGCAGGCTATTTCGGTTTAGTTTATTTTCTTTTACGGCATATCAACACCTCAATGGGTTATTTGATGCCGACAAGATTTTTAAGATAGATTCGTATGAAAAGGATATGTATTTTTTTTCTTTTTTCGAAAATGTATTGTTGGTAATATTTTTTTCCAAAATTGTATTGCTGGTAATTTAATCATAAAACTCCATTTCTACATTTTCAAAGTGTTTTGACACCAGTTTGGGGGTTAACTATTTGCCTATAACTGGGACCCTAACAGGTGCTACCACCTTGGGCCAGGGTGGACCGGGGAACAACGGCAATTAAAAGGTGATTACACGCTCCTCAAAACCTCCCGATCAGAGGCCTTGCTGCTGGATGTAGTTTATCATCATACCCAGGACGCCACATTGGAGGTGTTTTATCTGTCTGCAGAGGCACAGTCGGAATGTTCTGAAGTCCCTGCCGACAGAGTGGGCAGGTTAGGTAAAGCCAGAAAACATTTTTTGATTGTAAGAATATTTTTAGAAATAATAATGTTTTACTGATACAAGTCCTACTAATTAACCCATAGCTAGGGGAAGAAAAGGTGGATTCATATTTTTCCCAAGGGTATTTGCGAGTAAGTGAATATAACGAACCCGATTGGAATTGAAACTCGGCTCTCCGAGTTCCAATTTGGAACCATTATCCATTACACCACCTGCACCTTCAAGCTTAAGCCACTTGATATTCCTAAGCGGTCACCCATCTAGGTATTGACCAGGATCGACATTGCTTAACTTCGGTGATAGTACGGGAACCAATGTTTCGACGTGATATCGTCATAAGCCTACTGTAATTATTAACAAAATTTATTTATATTTTTATTTAGCAAAAATAAATTGAGCATTTTTCAATGTTTACAATATCAAAATGTTTTTTTTGTTGGAACATTTTCATGAGTACAACGGCTGACATTGATCTCCTTCCATGCGCCGCGCCCGTTCAGGACGTGGGTGATCATGTCTCTCCACTATTCCTCTCCTTTTTAACTACTAGTATTTTTTTTTGTTTTTTTGCTATCTCTACTAATTCCTGTTCTGCTATTGATTTACATAAGCAGCTGCTGCTGCTGCTGCTTCTTCTTCTTCTTCTTCTTCTTCTTCTTCTTCTTCTTCTTCTTCTTCTTCTTCTTCTCATCCTCCTCCTCCTTCTATGTACCGTGTCCCTTCAGAATGTAGGCGATCATGGCTGTTCAGGTCTGGCGTTAACCGTTATCTCCCCGACATAAACTGCGATTATGGCTCTCCAGAACTCTAAGCATAGAACGCGACCGCCGCCCAAACTTTCCGATTCTCTATCTCTTCGGTGTTCACCGAAAGCTGGGAAAGGGCTCATGGCACGCTCACAATGTAACAAAAAAGACCTACGTCACGTCGATAAATAACAACGCGAACCCTGTTTCCTATATTATATGTGTTTTTTTTTATTATTTATTCAGGGCGTCGCCTGCTCGCCCAGGTGGGTAGGTAGGTGATACTAGAAACAACTTTGGCTTTGTAAGCTCTTCCTTCAACCGACACCTCGCCCTTCTACTTATCCCGACGGGCTGAATGACAATACAATTGGGGACTTCAGAAACACGCCGCAGACACGTTCACTTCCCTCCAAGAGCAGACCAGCACTTTGCTCGATCTCAAACATGACTGTTAATATAGACCAGCACCCGGATATACACTATTTCCGGTTTTGTTGCCACTTGATCTCCAATAGTCCCTCATCCGCCACTTTACTTCCTATTAGCCTTTGTTTGAAGTCAATGTCACTTAGAAGACCGAATTTCAAAAGGAACCATTCTCTAGTCTATCAAACAGAAACACTTGAGATCTAGATAAAAAAAACACCTTTTTCATTTCTATGTGGGTGTTCATAGTATCACATAACCTCCTATTCTTTGTAACTCTTTGCGATGCTTGTCTTTTTTATTATCACTGATAGTCACTGTTCTGCCATTCATTTACACATTCTTATTAAGCAAGTTGCTTGTTGTTTCTTATTCTCTCAGTATGTCTTGTTAGTGTTAAATTTTCGAAGCCTCTTCATTATGTACTGTAGAAATTTAAACTGTTCCTGATTCTGTGTCCTTTTTATTGAAACTCCATCGTTAATTGCATTCTCGATTCATAATATTCTCAGCATTCTTCTGTAGAACCAAATTTGTTGCCTCAATTCTACTTTTCATCTGCTAGAAAACTGTCCAGCATTCACAGCTACATAAGTGAATTGACATTGTGTAAGAATTCAGTGCTTTTTTTCTTTATTTCTCGCCAAATCTGTTTCTCAATATCATGTTTATTTTTTTATTTTTGTACTTTATTTTTTTAATTTTATTTTATTTTTATTTATTTATTTATTTTTAGCAGGGGAGCATCTTCTGCCATTGCTTTGTATTTCAATCTTACATATCCTGTCATCTGTTAAAACACTTCCCAGATATTTAAACTTCTGTACTTGTTACGATTTTGATATCTGCAATCCATAGCTCGCATCTTGTATTGTTTCTCTGGCTGACAACCATAGATTCTATCTTTCAGCAATTTGTGGTTAGTCCTTTCTTGTCGCTTTCCTTTCCTACCTTGTTTGGAATTCCTGAGACTTCTTTTCTGTATCTGCCATCAACACGAGACATTTGAAAACTTTTAATATATAAACTTCATTGGTGCCACAGATAAATCAGTTTACTTCTTTTTTTAAAAAAAAAATCTACGTATGCTAGAGAATAAAGCTAATATCTTACCTGAAAATAGGCCTATTATAACTATGGAGAAAACTCAAAGCCTTCTTCAAACAATTAATCTCCTTATATTATAGGTTTGAGGAGAGTTATTAACATTCCAGTCTTTGTTCAGACAAATGAACTCTTTTTTTTTTTTTTGTATATCAATTTGTAAAGAATCATTAACATTTCAAGTTTTGTTAAGACAACTTAACTATTTTTTTCGATAAGTTTCAGAAGAGTTATTAACATTCCAATCTCTGTTTTCAGACAAGTAAAATTTACTTTAACCAGAAATTTCAGAACTATCAACTAGTGGTAGTAGCTCTGGGCGTTGGTTATACGTCTATTACTGGCAACTAGTGGTCTTGAGTTCAATCCCTGGATCAGATAGTGAGACACAGGTTCGGCAATAACGAACAAAATCTAGCAACACAGGAACAAACAATAATCAATAAATATCCCATATCAGTCAAAACAATGAACACCTGATGATGGCTAGAGAGTACTTGGCCGAAACGTTGTGCCTATAATAACATGTATAATAATCAAGATGGAAGATGTCTCACCAGTGTAGTTCAGTACGAGATTAAATAACAATAATAATATGTCTATTAAGCCGAGAATTTTTAAAAATATTAATAATTTTGTTGTTTTTTAGTAAGTTTTCACCAAATATAAATCCCAAGAGCCACTCGAGGTAGACGATTACTAAATTGTATGAATGGAGGAGGAGGAAGTACAACCTTGTGCAAATTAATTGAAACAAAACGAATAATTCCGTTATTATTTACTTTTTTCATATTTTTCCAATGACACATGACCAGTACACATGTTAGTACTCCGTCTGTCCATTCCAAGAGATTGACCACAGATTCTCCATTGGATTTAAATCAGGAGACTTTCCGGGCCAATCTATAGTACATTGATTTGCTCATTGGTTAGTCTTGCCAGTGTGTTCGTGAAGCGTTACAATTTTCATACGCTTCCTTGGAGTAACGTCCAACGACCGTAGGACAACTAATCGACAGTCGAGACAATAGTGTCTTGTGATAAAGATCTGATGCAGTCGCAGATGACGCAATATTTTTCAAGGCCAAACAAATTTCATCATACACCCCGAAAATATATTTCATATTACTGCACACCACTGCAAATGACTTAGTCTGAGATAAAAAATAAAAATAAAAATAGAAATCGATTACACCCTGTCATTCCAGTGGGTCTAAAACTGACCGTATGGTGAAAGAAAGGAAACTAAAGCGGTTGTTTCAATTAATTTGCGCAAAGATGTAAGTGCAGATTATGAGGATACCTATGATATGTTACGGTTCACTGTAAACTTGTGGCGGTTAAAATTCTACTATTCGAGAAAGTAACCTCTTGGCAGCCTTTTATACACAACTGCTAGAATGGAACTTCCTCCTTCCCAATGGAATATGAAGTAAATGAGGATGGTTCGTCCCTTTGAATATAGCATGGCGGGTTTTAGCTGCTAATGATGGAACTCGGAGATGTAACTCATCAGAACATTTTCTATGGATATAGCGGCAGAATAGCGAGCGGCTTACGATGTTCTTACTCACGGCTTAAAGCCTGATGCAAGCAAAACTTTATTAAATATCAGAAAAGGGACTTTATGAAGTCGAGAATTTTTCATGACTATCATATAGGTTTCACATGATTGCAATGCAAATCTAGAAAATATCTATTAAATTTTTTTTTAAATATCTATTAAAATCTAGAAACTATCTTTTAAAGACGATGCACTAGGAAGGGGAGAATTATCAGGACTATGATTCAATTGTCGTCTTGTACCAGACTAATGTGCCTCATGTGTTGGTTGTGTGAACAAAATCTTCAAAAATAGCACACAAACCAACTTTTTAATCCACTAGGCTTTTATTCCGTAGAACAATTCTCTGTGGTGAACTTGGAGCCTTAAACCTAACCATACTGCTGTTAATGGATTAAAACGACGGTTCGGGAAATTGATAATTGTGAGTTCCATTCCCAGACCGAGAAGTGTATAGTTGAACTCAGTGGAAACGAGCGAGCAGTAACTGGGCATTACTAAAAATAAGGACATGGCAATATCGCTAAACATGAGCAGTAGCACGAGAACATTCTAACTCCGTAAATTAAATAAAAGGTTCAGTATTTCAGAATTCCTTGTAGGCTACCCAAATTGATGTACACCTGATGAAGGCTGGAAGGCACAGCGACCGAAATGTTGTGAAAACAACAGCAAAGAAAAGGACAATAGTCCGAATACAAATAGTGTAAATAAAAATGATTTTTTGTCCAATACATTCAGACAGAAACCATTGATGAAGCTGAGAATTTTAACAAAGGATGGAAAACACGGCACCTGAATCTGAAGGCGCATTGGGATAAAGAAAGATGCCTTCCAAAAGCTAAGCAAAGTATGTAGAAATGTGAAAATTTAGTCAGAAACAAAAAAAAATAGTTCTGAACTGTTACATAATATCAGTCCTCCTTTATGGCAGTGAATACTTCATCGTCATCGCACAGATGGAAAAAAAGACAGAAAGCAATGGAAATGTGGTTCTACAGAAGGATTCTGAGAATATCATGAACAAAACAGGTAAACGACGAAGTTTTAAGGAAAATAGAAACAAAAAGGAAAATTACGCTTGAAATCAGATAGTAGAAATTTCCGTATGGCTTGGAGAATTTGATACTCACAGGACATATTTAAAGCAAATGTGACGGAGGGTGGCAGCGTGCCGCCTACCTAACAAGCTTGTGTAAATGGATGACTGAAAAGTGGAGGGGGAAATGAGTTTAAAAGTACAAACGTTTCTAAGAGTTACAAGGAATAGGAGGTTAAGGGCCCTCGTCGCCTACGATATAGATAGATATTTAAAAATTGGGCAAATATTTATTAACCAAAAAAATTCTTAGTTTAGTAAATCTAACTCTTAGTTTCCTGGAGCCTAAATTCTGTTATAAATACGGTCGCGTAAATTCACAAAGTTAATATTCGTTTTTTTTCGTAAAAGCTTTAACTTGTGTTTGTTGTTTTGTGCGCAACAGAATTCTCACCC